TTGTTAATGCGTTTCTAAAGCGGGAGATTATGAACCCTGATCATTTGAACTGTACTGCGTTCCTAGGAACCCTGTAGTGAACCAGGAAGGCAAAGGTCTGCAGGTCCCCATCCGCGCTGTGCAAAGCGGCCGCCTGGAGGCGGCGGTTACGCGCTGCCACGTCACACGAGCATCACCCGGTGGTCGCCATGGAAACCTAGGCTCAGAGGCAGCTGCGAGAAGCTATTGCAGGAAAACACCCCCGAGCAGAACGGGCCCCCCGCCCCCCACACGCACAGAGACAGCAGCCACACACACAAACCCACGGGCACCACACCAACCACTCTCACACATCCATGATTACATACACGCGCCCCGTCTAGCGAAATCCCCAAGTAGGAGGCAGAATACGATGGGTGGTGGTACTCCCGATCCCCGTGGTAGGTTGAATACCCACGGTCACCGATGGGGCCACTGCCCACTCACGCAAGCGACCACTAATCCACTGGTCACTGTAATCCTTAGCAGTTATGAAGGACAGTGCTCACACGCACATACGTACATGTGCACACACTCACGTGACGCTAACCCCTTCTAAGGACAAATAATGTTCAAAGAGACGGCATCATATAAAATCACTTGGATGAGAGTGCAGTCATCATTAACCTTGCTCTGACATGCCCACCCATCACACCTGCACCCATCACAGCTGCCCACTCATCACGCAAAAGATGGGGAAATGACAGGTGCCAGAGGAGAATGAATAAGCAAAGCCAAATTTGCATTGGATTTTCTTGAAGACAGCTCTGCAATTCCAGAGCTGGTTCCCCACAGCAACAGGAGGTAACACAAGCTGACGATCGCTCCATCAGAGGACAAGCATGGTTCTCGACAAACATTTAAAGTGGCTGCACATGCAGCGTTGTGGCACCAGTCACTGCCATTCCCCACAGAAACGCACGAGGTGGCAGTTTGTGCAAATTTAGTGATGTTTATTACAATGTATTTTTATATAGGTTATAGAAACATCGGCAAGTTAGAATGTTAAGGGTGAAAACGCATGAACCATTCTGTATTTTTGGTGTATGCAGACTGCAGTGTTTACATCGTCAGCTTTTGAACCCAGAGGATGCCATTCCCTTACTGACCCCTAGGTCATTAGCATAATTACCTCTTAATCGGGGCGCAGCGCCTGATCCCACGTGCACGTAGGCCCCAAATGCAGAAGGGCCTCCATGAAAGATAACGTAGCAAGTCTCCCTAGCATTCTGCAGATGCATGGGCCCACTCGGGTCCCATGCTGTAGTTGAGACGACCAAAAGGGAGGTCATTAGAACCAGGGTTGAGCAAGTCACCGGTTGCTCTACGAGCTCGTTTTACAGTCGCAGCGAGGTTAAACATTAAATTGGTCAGAGTAGCGTGCTGGAGCATTTCCAGGACACAGTAGCAATCATCCGGCGTGGTAAGTGGGCGCCACAGCTGTCGCTCCGGCACAGGGTCAAACACGCGGAGGCTGCACGTGGGTTTACACGAACAGCGGTAGTTACTGCAGTGCATTAACACTGTCATCGTGCCTAAAATTTTAGCCCATGTATGAGGCTCAAAGCAATTGGGCACGACCACCATGATGATCACAACAACCGCAAAAACTCCACACTCCTCCTCCCGGGACACATTTCAGGAACTCGGCCAATGCATGTATGTATATATGTTCAACTTTTTTAGCACCGTACGTAGCCAGTGGTATGTGACACAGAGACAAGATCGCTACGCATTCTCCAGGACACATCTGTAGTGAGCTGCGTCTGGCTATAAATAACGGCAGAATTTTGATTTATGCTAGTTTCTACCACAACAACCCAAATCAAATGTTCACTACAGCTGGTCCAATATACCACAGCCCGGGTTATTTTATTAACCAAACCTCGTACTCCCATCTCTGTGGCCTCACTTTACCAGCTTCCATCCACGAGGGTGTGGACGACAAGATCTTTGAGCTCACGTTAAAATTCATCCACGGCCTTAACCCCCCCCCCTCCTCACTACCCCTGTAGCCTCCTCCACTGCATGTCCGAGCAGCTCTCTCTGGTCCATCTGCTCCACGAATTCTGGCCACCTTGTTCCCAGGATCCACTGCTTTGCCATTTGTGCAGGCTGTTTTAGCTCTAAGTCTCTGAGTATATTTGCCTTAATCTGGGTCTTTGGGTCTCTCGTGAATATACTTGTCTCTATGGGTTGGTGGGTTGCTCTTTTAACCAAGACACTCCCCCCATCCTCTGGAACTCCCTTCCCAGGCAACTCTGCCTGGTCCCCTCTCTCTCTTGATTTCAAGTCTCTCCTCAAAACGTCTGTTTAATCCTGCCTTTTGGACCCCATTAATTGCTTCCTTTTGGTGAGTGGATAAGTGAATAGGTGAACGTGTGGGTAAGTGGATGAGCATGTGGATGAGTGTGGGGTAGGTGTGTAGGTGAATGGGTGTGTGAGTGACCTTGTGGGCGAGTGTGTGGGTTAGTGGGGGGTTATGTGGAAAGGAAGCGATAATGTAGCAGTTAGCGCGCTTCGATAGGTATGTCGAACTTCCGTCGCACGTCGCCTACCATGCTAATCGGAGGTGCAGGGGAAGGACAACAAACCCAGCGACCCGAGTTCGATTCCCACTTATGGGCAACACCAGTGACGATTATCTGAACCGGTCCTCGGCCTCCCATAGGTCGACTCAACCTCAAATGAGTACCTGGTGTGGTGCGTAAACATCACTTGGGAGACAAAGGCGGCCAGGCGTGGTGCTTGCCACCCAACCCCCTCATGTGCCATGCCGGCCTTCATAGGTGCTCGCTAACAGTACTTGCCCCAGCAGTATGTTAAGGCTATAGGGGGATATTTGTCATTGGTGAGTGGGCAACTTGGTCTCAAAATCTGTGACTTAGTCGCCTGCTTACATGTAGAAGTCTCTGGTTGAAGAGGCGTCCACATAAGGGATTCAGTTACATGCAACGAAGTTGTGCAACTTACCACTCAGGTGTCAACCTGCCTTTACATCCCTGACAAATCAAGTCCTGCACCCAGCTCAAGCGTCCATGAGTCAGCTCAGTGCGGCTCAATGTGCCACCAAAACGCACCGCTCATTGTTTTCTCATCAGCAACTATGGGCCGACTACACCAAGCAGAAGGAGGATGAGGGGCGGGGATGCCTCTGCAACAGCACGGGGCCTTGCACCGTCCGCTGCTGGTTGCTGTCAGCGAGGGGGCGCGGGTCCCCAAGTCTCAATTTACAAAAAAAAATCGGCACCTGATTTTGCTACGGTTCCACAGCGATAACCCTGGACCTGGCGGCCTCCCACTTACAGCTCTAATCTGATTACGCAGCCATAAACTTCACTTTAACAGCCTAACAGCCTCACGTCCCATCACTCACACCGCGCTCGACCACTCTCACACATATTCACCTTACTCCCACGCATCCATGCATCCCCACACGCATGCACAACGCAATTTACTCTCCACGCCAGTCCCGCCCAAAATTCTCACGTCGCGTCCCCCCCCAACGCCAATTCCCAGGGACGCCTCCTGATCACCCCAGGTCCCCCTTTATGTCAGATGCCACAGGTCCCCCTTGAACCCCAGGTTTCCCTTGTTTTCCTAGGTCCCCTTGACTTTCAGGAGGTACCAGGTCCCCACTGGCTTCACAGCCCCCCCCCCCCCGACTGACTCCAGCAGACAGCGAAAGGACACGGGTTCTCTAGGGCCCCACGGTTCCGCCATGTGTGGACGAGACGATGGGAGAGACGCTGAGGACAGGGGCCGCGCCTGTCGTTCCTGTGAAGGAATGATGAACCCTGTGAGATGATGACCCCTGTGAGGGGATCATCACCGCTGTGAGGGGATCAATCCGTGCACATTGCGATTAGCGGCCCTGACCCACGTAGGAACGGCATCCCTGCTCCCCGGACTCTCCTCTTCCATCTCCTGCTACCCCACCTCCTCCGCTCTTCCAAAACCAAAAGCCCTTTCCTGTCTCTCAATGGCTGCCCCTACAGCCTGCGTACTCCTGCTCCCCGCTGCACCACCATCGCCGGGGCTCAGCGAGCCCCGTTATGGCCGTTCACGTACCGAGATCCCGGGGCCGCGCCTGACCACCTGGAGCGACCCGCGCCTCCCGGCCCCCGGCCCAGCCCGCGGGGCCCGAGCACGGAGCGGCCCCGGCCGCCATTTCAAGCCGCCGGCTCAGGGATGGCTGCCGCTCCTGATGCTGCTGCTGCTGATGATACTGATGCAGATCCCGCTGCTGTTAGTCGGGGCGGCCCCGCTCGGCGGCTCCAGCCCCGACTCATTCAGGCGGAGACTGAAAGCGACGGAGATAGAAAACGCCCTCTAGCGGTTCAAGTGTTGACACTCACCCACCGTGCAGAACACTCACCCACCCGCCAATCGCGCAGGACACTCACCCACTCACTCCACCACCATACACAACACTCTGCCACTGTGCAAGACCCTCACCCAATCACCGCGCAGGACACTTACCACTCACTCACCGTGCAGGATATTCACCAATCCAACATGCACGACACTCACCACTCGCAACAGATGACACTATTTTTTGGTCAAAACCAATTCTGCATGCCTGAAATTGTCACTTTGCAGAAGCAGGGGTCGCTATTTCACACAGGGTTGTGTTCACTCTGCAGTACACAGACAATTCAGCACACTCATCCTGCAGTACACAGGAAATATAGAAGTCACCCTGGAGTACCCAGGCAGTGCAGTACTCACCATGCAGTACTCAAGCAATGCAGTACACTCACCATGCAGTACCCAGGCAGTGCAGTACACTCACCATGCAGTACCCAGGCAATGCAGTACACTCACCATGCAGTACCCAGGCAGTGCAGTACACTCACCATGCAGTACCCAGGCAATGCAGTACACTCACCATGCAGTACACTCACCATGCAGTACCCAGGCAATGTAGTACACTTACCATACAGTACTCAGGCAATGCAGTACACTCACCATGCAGTACACTCACCATGCAGTACACTCACCATGCAGTACCCAGGCAATGCAGTGCACTCACCATGCAGTACTCAGGCAATGCAGTACACTCACCATGCAGTTCCCACCATGCAGTACACTCACCGTGCATGCCACTCACCATGCAGTAGCCAGGCAATGCAGTGCACTCACCATGCAGTACTCTGCAATGCAGTACTCACCATGCAGTACTCGGCAATGCAGTACTCGACCATGCAGTACTCACCATGCAGTGCTCACCATGCAGTACACTCACCATGCAGTACACTCACTCACCATGCAGTGTTCATGTTTGTGTGACGTCACGTTTGTCCCGGCGGTTGTTTCCGGCAAGATTCTTAGGTTTCACGAACGGGTTTCCCCAATCTGTGGTCGAGAGTCCTAGTCTCTCCTCCCGTGTCTCCCCCTTCGTCTCGCGGTGTTTAACCAGTATCCTTCTCTCCCCAGTGTCCCAGCCTCATTGGTGTATTTGTCGCAGGCGGATCTAGCCACGTTATAGGTGACTGGACGTGGCCTCCATGCCTCCCCGCATGCTTTGGTGGGGCCCTATGGCCTCCTGCTGCGCCGTCTCATCATTCTTCAGCTTTTTTTCCGTCGCGGCCAGGGGCTCGAGGGCCCCCGTGTGGGCCCCCCGCGCCGCACGAGAGCTGGGGGCCCCCCGAGGGAAGGCGTCTGGGCCGAGGTTGGAGGAGCTGCAGGAGCTGCGCGAGGAGGACCTGAGGGAGCAGTTCGTGCGCGGGAGCGGCCCCGGGGGCCAGGCCACCAACAAGACGAGCAACTGCGTGGTGCTGAAACACGTGCCTTCGGGCATCGTGGTCAAGGTACGCACAGCCACCCCTCCTCTACTGTGACAGTGGCTCTCTAGTCTGTGGCATCGGTGCATGTTAGTGTGTTCGTGTGTATCGGTGCATGGTAGCGTGTTAGTTGTGTATCGGTAGATGTTAGTGTCTATTGGTCACTACTAAAGATGATCCAAATAACTACCGACCTATCTCAATTTTGTCCCCGTTGATGAAATTTTTTGAAAAATTATTGACCTTCCAAATTAGCGGTTTCCTGTCCACCAACAATCTACTACATCTAAAACAATCTGGGTTCCGAAAAAAATACAGCACCACATCTGCTGCATTAGACTCTGAATCACATTTACAGTAGCCTTGATAATAAGCAGTACTGTGCCTGTCTTTTCCTCGACCTATCCAAAGCTTTTGATACAGTAGACCACAACACCCTGCTTAGTAAACTAAGTTGCCTCGGTTTTTCCGAAAATGCAGTAAAATGGTTACAAAATTACCTCTTTTCTCGCACCCAAACTGTATTCACAGATGGTTGGAGGTCAGTGTTAAGATAACAAAAGGGGTTCCACAGGGTTCCATCCTCGCCCCCCTCTTGTTCTCTTTTTATGTCAATGACTTGGGCACTGACCTGGATCATTCCAGGGTAAATCTTTTTGCAGATGACACGATACTGATTACTGCTGACCGCTCTCCGGATGACGTGATTGCTAAGCTACAGGGTGATTTCAACAAACTACAACATCAGCTAGTTGCTCTTAAACTAGTCCTGAATACCTCCAAAACCAAGGTGCAATGCTTCTCACCAGGACTAAAGCAGGAAGTTATTTTTCCCCAATTACATTCCTTAAATAATTATCAAATAGAGCAAGTCAAGATCTATAAGTATCTTGGGGTCATCCTGGATTCAAAACTGAATTTTGAAGATAACATTGATTATATTGGTAAAAAGACAAAAATCAAAATTGGTTTCTGTATCGACACAAGTACTGCTTCCCCCCAATGTTCCGTTTGGAATTTATAAAAGCTACCATACTGCCTCTACTTGACTACTGTGACATCGTGTATAAATCAGCCCCAAGTACTGTACTGAAGAAGCTTGATTCCATCTATCACTCGGCCTTAAGATTTGCATTGAACTGCCCATATAGGACTCACCACTGTGATCTCTACATTGGGTCAAACTTAACATCTATTAATGTTCGACGGCTTATTTATTCACGATGTACGTACAAAAAGATCCGCAGACTACCTGCTGGATCTCCTCTATGTTTCAAAGAACAAATTTGACCTCAGGTCTTCGCTCATTTACCAGCTTCACATTCCCTATTGCCGTACAAAAACTGAAGGGCCTTTGCGATTGATGCCCCCAGGGTCTGGAATGCTATTGCCAATAAACTGCAACTTGAATTGCTACCAATGAGATCTTCTCTCAACACTGCTCTAGAGGAGTTGTACACCCCTAGCTGCCACTGCTATTCATTGGCATAAAATAAAATGTTTCGCTCCGGATGACGCTGCAAAGTATTATCTGTATTTTGATTTAGCGTGCTGATCTTAAAGGTGCATTGAAAAATGTGATACTCTGACTGATGCTTCTGTTGTTGTGGAGTAACTCATGCAGCCAGTTATGGCTCTAGGATTTAGTGTTACATGTTATTTATGTAGTTTATTGTAAAAATACGGTCACAGTCGCTGTGATCACTGTTACGTTGCAATTATGGCTTTATTTTTTGGTGATTTCGAAAACGTTTTTTGGTTTGGACATGTTTGTTTTGTTGTAGTACGGACTTAGACTGATGGCCTTAATCTAAGTTTTCTTGTGGTTGTTTGACTTGCATCCCACTGGGATTTTTTGCACACAGCGTTGGTGTACGGTGCTTTTTTCAGGAATATTTTTACTGTTTTTTTTTCATGGATTTTCTGTTTGCACAGTCACATAGTCACTTTAAGATGTTTTCCTTGTTCGTGTTTTTTGTTTGTTGTGGTTGCACCCGATTCAAGAGCCGAATGGCTCACAGGGCTATACCAAAATAAATAAACTGAAAACTGAAACTACCACTCCCCCACACACAAATGCGCTTGTGTGAGGAGCGGTAGTGTAGCGGTTAGCGCTACGTACCCGGCAACCGAAGTTGGATTCCTGCTCACGGCCAATACCAGCGACAATTATATGAACTTGTCCTGAGCCTCAAATGAAAACCTAGTGCAGTATGGCAACAGTCCATTAAAGCTGCACGGGGGGATCTTTGTGGCAGTGTTTCGTGCACAGTTGCATTAACTCGAAGACAGCCTGCAGCACAAGTTGGTGTGACCGACAATGACCTCTATTGTACATGCTAATTGCAGAACACGCCGCACCATCATCCCCAAGAGCAGCATTGGGGGAGGACGCAGGCAACCCACTCACCTGGCCAGGAATATTATCGGCTCTCTTGTCCACTTCCTGGCCACCGAAACTTAACACCAGGCCGCACTGTCAATCCAACCTAAAAAGTTAATCTAGGTATCTCCTATACCCACTTTTTACTCAGACCATGATCCCTTCATCTGGGGTCAATAAAATGACTGCCACTTGTATGTAGAACTTCTTTCGCACCATACGCAGCCAACAAACTTTGGGAAGCTAACAGTGGTTGTCCTGAATATACTCACCCAGCCATAGGAACGTGGAATGTCCATCACTGGCTCAGGGCTGTAAACAGTAGAGAAGCACTGCCGTAATGCTCATTTTATTAAGAACTAAATTTGACTCTTGAAACCACTGTATTGTTACCCGTGGCACATTAGAAGAGCTCGGCTTCTGATGGGTGTCGCTTGTGCCGTTTGCACAGGTTTTTATGTGGTCAGTAGCCTGCTGTAGGTGGCACGATAACTAGTAAGAGCAGATATACGAGCCACAGCGAGAGGAGGAATACTGGATGTGGTGTGAAACGATGGCTTGCGTGTACCCCACAGTGCCACCAGACACGATCGCTGGAGACCAATCGCAAGCTGGCACGCGGGATTCTGCGCGGGAAGCTGGACGAGCACATGCATGGGGACGCGAGCGCTGTGCGGCTGCAGCGACTGGAAGGCCAGCGGCAGCGCGCCGCTGCCAAGGCGATCAGCCGTCGCTCGCTCGAGCGCAAGCGGGCATTCCAGTCGCTCGACCCAACCAGCACGAGCCCCTGACGGCACCTGCGCTGCCGGGATGTCACTATGGGCACTGAGGCCACAACGTCCAAAGATCTTGAATGAAAACTATATTTGAAGACAATGTTATCTAGAATCTCCAAAATCTCAGACAAAACATATGAATAGCTAAATCACTTACAATTCAGTCTCTAAAAGTTGCACTTGATTTGCTGTATGTGAGAAAAAGGGTGAATGGTTCACTGGCCAACGCAGAGAGTGGTGTAGCCTATAAGAGCAACATCTCTTAAGAAGCACTGCCTTGCCGGGGTGAAGAGGTTAAAAGGCCTTGTAGCCCTGAACTGTGCTGGATAGGAGCCGCCATAGCAGTCTGTCCTCGGTGAGACACGACACAAAATGTCTTGTGACCCCGTGACATTGGAAACAGTTGGCCATGTGCGAAATCCAGTTGAGAAACATAGCAACAGCGATCCCCTACTGCGTCGTAAGCTTGCGAGAGGTGGCGGCGACTTGGAGAGGGAGGCCTTCATGATTGCTCGTGACTGATGATGAAGGCATACAACTTAAAAGTTTGAGCAATTTATTTGTATAGTTAAGTAATTAACTTTTACCACAAAGATATTGGAACTGCTAAAGTGATGCCAACTCGGGTATAACCAACAAGGGAGATATATGGTCTGAGCCCTCAGACTTAAGCTGTTGCCTTGCTTTGCAGTTATTGTATAACCATGTTGGACATTTACCCAGGAAAATATCACCAAGTCAAAAGACCTTTGTAGGAGGGTCCCTGTATCAGGATTTGATCCCAATGTATTGCATGTGTTAGAAAACTGGAGCCCAAATTGAAAACCCAGATGGGGAGGGGTAACGCAGAATACTGCAACTTCGTGGCCCACCTTACAGCCCCAAGCCCCCTTCTGGCCAAACTCAAACCTGCGTATCCTCCAAAATATGACAGTCATGCACATTTAATGCAGTGTGATCACAAGCAAAAGCATAAAAAACAATTACTCATCAGTATTTGCAGTTAGAATATGTACATGTATTACACATGTACTTAATTTCCTTTAAGATTTTCTTAAGTGTTTATGATCGTACATGATATCTCCAAATGTGTCAAAATGGAGCGAAGAAAACAGTCCCATGATGAGTGTATACACAACAATGTCTGTGTAATGTTCTTCGTAATTGTTTATGGCCATAATGTTTGTAACTTGTGATTGAAGCAATCCAGAACATGCAGAAAAATGACTTCACACTTTGATGCAACAGTGAAATAAAAGGAACGTTTGAAAGTATTACTTTATTTTGTAAAAGGTGTTGTATAAAAATGAGACAAACCGGGCTTGAATTACACAACCCTAAATTAACACAACGTCCACGGCGGTCAGCAGTCACCTCTCAAGGCTGCAGGAGCTCCGAGCTGGTACCAAGTGCCATCTGTGGGTGCACTTCCCGCTAAGACGGTAGGGCACCTGAGACCTTGATAGATTGGCGCTTGTGGCAAGACGTTGTTGAGCTGGCGTCGTTGTGAGACGTTGAACAACGGTGCCAAAGTGTGCCGAACCTTTCCTCGATGGGCGCTGTTTTAGGAACGCGCGGATCGTTCTGTCTCGGCCAGACACTCGCGCACAAGCGCGCGCGCGTGCATGATACCTGGAAAGAAACACAACAGGATCCCCCTATTTGCGAGTCTATGGGTCTTTGAGAGTCTTTGCAAGTCTAATTGTGATTACAGTGGAGTGGAATCCATCGCTCGGATTGCCGATCATGACCAATCACACACTTGCAGTTGGTACGAACGGAACCATCTGGCTTCCCCAGATTAGATCGAGTGTCTTCTCCAAACTTGCCTCACACAGCTCCAAACTAGATTGCTTTTCAAATGATACACGAATGCAATCCACCCAAGTGGCTCAGCGGTATAGCGAGTGGCTCGCAACTGGAAGGTTCTGAGATCAAAACCTGGTTGGGAAGGGACTGACAGCTCATCATCAACCCCCTCTGAGGTCGATAAAAAAAATATATCATTTTGTGGGGAAGAACGGTTTTGTGCTGTCAGGTTTTCGTCCACTGCCTCAGGAGACGAGCAAAAGTTCCTTCTCCAGCAGGTACTGGCTGTGACTTTACACTCATGAAGATGCGATTGGTGAGTGGCGCTGGCCATGCGAGTCGCACTGTGCTCACCGCGCTTGAGCCGCTCCGTGGCACTCTTGCTCCCCGCGTACGTGGGGCGGATGTCGCGCCCCAGCTCCTCGATGACGGCCAGCAGCTCTGCGTATTTGCTCTGTGGCGGCTGCTGTGGGCCCCCTCCAGCCTCAACACACACGCGATCAACACGTGCGTGTGAGCGGCACACCAAAGATTCCACATCCCCAACCCCGTGTGGCGACCCGAGCTCTTTGGCCTATGCATACCACCAGCTCAAAATAACTGGCGATTTTTTGTCTTTCAGACAACTGACTCCATTGTGTGTTGAAAAATCGGATTTGCCTGCAAAAATGTTTTTGTTGCAATCGGTTTTTTCAACTAATCGATTTACTCATTGGACTCGCTGACCGCTGCCAACCCGCACCTCCGATTAGCATGGTTGGCTACGTACAGTGTGAAATAAGTTTAACAAACATACAACCTTCATCAATAATTACTGTGTTAGGGCCTACCTGTGCATTAGCAGCTTACGAGTCTATTGGACGTGACCGTCTCCCTCCTTGCCAACCAGCCACTATGACGTCCACGAGAGCACATCCCTCGCCTTGTGACCACATTCGGCCAGAGGTAATTATGAGGTCAAACTCCGAATTGTAACAGTGGCCGCGAAAAGAGACGTGTTATAAATAATGATCCGTCAGAGTCCGTGTCCAGTGCACGGGGGGCACCCACCAAGGACTCACCGAGAGGTAGCCCAGAGAGGGGGGGCCGTAGTCGTTGAAGAGGGGGCGAGGGAGCGGCTGCGCCGCGGGGCCTGGGGACGGGACACCCCCCCCTGCAGGGAGACCACGAGAACCAGGACCAACCGCACTCACCAACCACGTTTCTAAATGTGGAGGGAAAAACCGGAGGACCCGGAGAAAAATCCACGCGGACCACGGGAAGAACACGCACACCCCAAATATACAACAGGCGTCAGGTTTGGAATCTAACCCACGCTTCCTGTGTAACAGGCAAGGGAGTTCACATCCCGCCACTCAACATCCACCAGGCGTCCCACACTCAGTAGCCACCGTCACTCCCCAACCACGAATCATCACACTCACTCTCATTACTATCGGAATCCCACTCTCACCTTGACTGTTCACCGGGAGAGGCGCGGGGGACGAGGAATTTGGCTTGAAAGACATCGCAGCGCAGAGCCGGGGCGAGGCGGACGATGATGGTGAGATGAAGGCGTCAGATGATGAATAATGTGAGAGAATGTTAATGAAGAGCGAATTGGTGGAACAGCTGGGTTATAATTGTTGCTGCTGCTGATGTTGTTGTTGATGATGCTACGGCTGTGGGTGTCGCTGGACCCGCAAAGCCCCGGGTCTCGGCTTTGTCGCCGGTAGAAATGGCGGCGTGACCCGGAAGTCGGCGTCGGGGTCCGCGGGAGAGAAACCGAAGCTCGGCACGAGGAGGAGAGGAAAGGGAGCGGAGGACACGAGGGGCAAGGAGGAGGAGAGTAACTGACATTTAATTGAAAATAACAGACGTGAAACTCCAAGGCACGCGTTCAGGGTTTAGCTTCCGCTTCCGGGTGCTAGCACCCACGTGGCACCACCCTGCGGTATTTAAACCTCGCACGGGGGAGACGCAGTGAGCTCCAGGGAGCGCTCTGTAAGGGTGGTTTTCGGTGTCCTCGTCGACCAGTACGTCTTGGAACAGGTGGGGGTTTCCCACACTACCCCACCACACGCGACCTGCCGATCAAAAACTGCGATGATTCCCATTTGTACACCGCTGCGTACGGGGTGAAGGGTTAAATAAAGAATAGTTGGCTGACTGTGTTGTGATCTGTAGTATGTTAGATTATAAAGTATTAAAGCTTTCGTGACTGCATAAAATTACTTTGTTTTTTTTTCGGTAAAGTCACGTATGTAGAAATACAATAAAATTATATTTTAAAAAACAATCACGACGTTTCGATCACAACGCAAGCAATCTTCATCAGGTGTCAAGAACAAATCACGGAGGTAAATACAACAAAAAGATGAGAGACGAGAATTCAACAAACCTGAAAAAACATTGTGAAGCACATCCAGTCAGGCCAACAACACAGTTAAACACTTCCTGGCGGACCACGAATTTAAGAAGAGTGTCACGATGAAACTAAACTGTCTGGTATAGAGTTTCTCTGGGCCATTTGGGCAGAGGCGGCATGGGAACAATGAGCGTTTAAACCCTCGCGCATTTAATAGTGCCTATTGGAGGCCCGCCTTACACCAGAGAGACCTTGGCAACTTGCGGAAGAGGCTCCTGCTCTCAAGAGGTGTCACCTGGTTAATACAAATAACGTGCACAATATTTCACAGACATAAGTGACCGTAACTTTGAGGCACGGAGCCATGCTGTCACTCTAATGCCTAGTGAGAGATGTTTGCGGCATTTAAGTGTCTCTAGTCTGCAGACTGAACGCTGCGAATGTGAAGCAAGGTGTTAAATAACCTTCCTTGAAATTGACAGCATGGAAACGTAGGCCAAAAATACTCTAGAAGGGCAGGTCGGGTACCAGCTTCTGCTAGAGCCGCTGTGTGGAGCACCACGACAGTGATTCGCTAAGGAGGGTGAACTCGGGCGGGGGGGGGGTCAAAGGGACGTTTTATGGTGCAGGGCCCAACCCAGCGCCCACCCCCCCCCCAGCGCTGGCCCTGCACGCGGGGCTCACCAGAGCTCGGTCTGGTAGAGAACAAGATACACGGCTGCACCTTTATCTGAGAACATACAGACGGACACCATGGGAGCAAAACGGACAGCATCTTTTATTTCCACGGATTATCTTACAGACGGTGGTGCTGGGAAGGGGGCAGCATGAGTCGAAAATTTACACAGAAAACCTCGGGCAGCTCCAGAGCGAGAGCACAGTGGAGGTGCTGGGGGATGGTGGAAGGGGTGGAATTAACTTAAACTAAAACGGGCAACGAACTGAACTGACCAACCCAGCCATGGCGACTGGGACCTGCGGTCGAGAGCTCTCCTCAGATGATTCCCCAGCCTGGCAGTTCCACTCACTCGGCCAATAACTATACACATTCCAAAACAGCCATAGTACTTACCACAGGGCGACTGTTAACGCCAGAGTTTAATTTAAACGAGGGCATAAGCCTTACGATCTCTGCCATCCGGCACTACGGGGACGTCGGTTTCTACGCAAGGCGGGCGCAGCAGCACGGTGCCGCTGTGCCGGGGTCTAAGTGTGCGCGGGCGTCAACGCGTGCGATGGCAGCGAGCCGGGTGCAGCTTGCTGCTGCTGCTGCTCCACAGATGCCAGCACGCAAGCGAGAAGCGGCACGCAGCTCTGCGGGATAATCAGCCCTGTGCAAAACACACGCGGAAACATTGAGTCATTGAACATTAACGAACGATAACACAAACGCGTCCGGGGCGGTGACATGGCCCACCCAAAGCACGGTCATCGCCTGTTGCAGATGTTCGGGGTTCTAATCCGGTAGGTTGTCCTGGTTAATATTGCAGTGTGTGTTAACCGTAATATACGACGCAACATCTGCTTCACTTCCAGTGGACGTTAAAGATCGTGTGACATTTTTAAACGAGGCCATTGTGTGCCAACATCACGGCCCATCTTAATTTGGAATCATCGCAAAAAAAGCACTGCCAGGACCCTCCTGAAAACAGTCTTAAGACTCGGTGAGGCTCTCCTGGGTAAGCAAATAGGAGTAATAATAATAATTATCCATCAACAAAGGACCAGGTATTCATATTCTTGGTTCTTTCGGTAAAGTCACGTAGAAGGGAAACAATAAAATAATAAAAATATAAAACAAGTAAAAAAAGGAACAGGTGTTTGAGCAGGTGAAGTGGAGAGCGAGTGGGGACGTGGCCAGCTGACTTACCCACGATCCTCTGGCCGTCCTCGGTCCGCAGACGCACAATCTGCATCTTCAAGTGGGAGCCACTCACAGAGGTCATGACCCCCTCCACTCGGCTCCACACGCTCAGCACGGAGCCGCAGAGCACGTGGTAGGTTCGGCAGCGCAGGCCCACCTCGCACACCATGCCCAGCGCCGCCTTTTTGCAGTTTCCCCGCCTACGGCACAGCCGATGCGTCACAGTTCATAATCGATTTGTGGGTTAAGCCACGTAATGCTCATTCATTAATTGAGTTTGCCAAACACCCTAATTTAGGACCAAAGAGCTTGAGCAATTGTTCAATATTGAGCGTCACTGCCTTAGCACGCATGGTTCTTGCAGTGCATAATTGTTTATTTTTTAGTCGAGGGCAGGGGTCCCCAACCCCCAGGCCGCGGACCAGTACTGGTCCATGGCCTGTTCAGAACCGGGCCGCACAGCAGGAGGTGAGCGGTGAGTCCGCGCGTGGCCCGCCCATTATTTTATTTACCACTTCCGTCCGCGCCTCTTTCCCGCACTGTGCACTTGTCTCAGTCACAGTGTTGGTAAGCCCACAAAGCTAACCCTAGCCAAAATGAGTAAAAAACAAACGTCGCTGGAGAGCTTTGAAAAGGGGGAAAAACCCAATGATGAGCCCCCCCCCCCCCGGTCCGTGAAAAAATTGTCTTCCATGAAACCGGTCCCTGGTGCCAAAAAGGTTGGGGACCGCTTGTCTAGGGGACCCCATAATGGCAGCTATCTGTGCGGCACAAATGGGCATTAATCTGTGAGTAGGAGGCGATGGTTTCTATGTGCGAGCCACAAAGCAGAGAGTGTGGTGCTGTGGTCACCAGTAAGCATGAGTGCAGGTGTCCTTTGAGGTGTTGAACTGTTCCTCCCAGTGAGGCATCGCATCGTCCGACGACACCTGAGGTTCACAACACAGAGGTCCCAACGTTTAATCAGACGGTGAAGAGCACTGCGTGATTATTTAAGTCAAAGCTCTTTTTCAGCAGGGTCCTGCCAATTTTGCAGAAAAAAGATCGATGTTGCTGCTGTGTATAATCCCAAATGGGGAATTTGCAGGTAATTTTTCAGCAATAGGATGTTTTGGCCAATGCCAGTTACGTTGTTTTTTTTACTATCGGAGGACACCAGAGAACCCGGAGATAACCCACGCAGAACAGGCAGAGAGCAGACTGGAATCAAACCCAAACATTCATTGCTGTACGGCACGAGTGTTACCAATGCACCACCCTGCAGCTCAAATGAAGGAAGTTGTCTTATTCAAGACTGGTTCAGATATCACTCGCCACTGATGTCAGCCGTAAGTGGGTATCGAACTCAGATCCCCGAGTTCACAGCACAATGCGCCCACCCAGTGGTTCTCAATTTTGTTAATATGATGGCTCCCCCAGTCAAGACCACTGGTCCCTCCCCCCCCACCACCAACGTGGCACCAACATTCCACGGCCATATTCAAAGTTTCTCCTGCACGGTATCCACGCCACAGCCTGCGCACCCTATAGGCTTCCGCACCCCCCGCCCCAGTGTGCAGAACCCGCTGCACGAAGCGCCGCGTCACCGTTCCACACGCCGGCACACAGCACATATAACGAGCACAGACAACGTTATGCAAAGCATAGCCAACATTACGCACGTCTTGCAGGTCCCCCCACGCACCTTCTTGTACTTCTTCTTGAGGTCGGCGTACATTTCGTGCCGCAGCTGTTTGCCGGTGTTGGGCCGGTAGATGAGGAAGAGTCGCTTCCTGGTGCTCACCTCCCGCGCCAGCACAGCCGTGCGCTTGCCATTACGCACCTGACGCACGCCCAATGCATGTACAAAAGGCGGTCTCAGGCTCTGACGCGCTTTAAGGGGCAACAGCCACGGTGGTCTGGGAGGCAAATCTCACGTCAAAAATCCCAGCGATTTCTGTTCGAATAGGCAGTGCTCGATTCTTGTTTATAGCCCCCACCATAGGAATGTGGAATCACCACCACTGGCTCAGGGCTGCAAAGATGAGATGAGGCACAATGCCTCAATGCTAGTTTGAGTGGGAAATCACTTTGGACGCTGACTCACTGAATTGGCAGGAGAGGCAAGTCTGGAACTCTGGCAGGCTGTGATGCCCATGTGTGCGAGTGTGTGTGTGAGCGTGCACACCTGCAGAGACAGGTAGAAGCCATCGTCTGGCCCGGATTGGTCGGCCCACACCTCGGTGGCCTCCTCCCATGACATTCCCCGCTCCACCAACACCTAGTAGCACCAACATACCCGTCAGACACCGCATCACCGCTACACACCAAACACACTGCATCACCATTACGACTGTCGCGATGCTTGTGACACCGTTGTTCTGCAGGTCGAGGCCCGAGCATGGCTCACCGTGTACATCTCCACGTGGCCCGCACCCGAGTGGCCGCGCGTGTTAAACCTCTTCACTTCCAGCTTCTTCACGCGTTCCTCCCCCGAGCCCAGGTCTATGCACACACACACACGTGCAATGTCAGTCAGCGCCTATTTATGAGGACATGGTTGAGAGCGTCGCCCAGGCCAGCTTCACTATCCCAGTGCCACAGAGACGTCGGGTCAAGTTTTAAGTGGTCACTATGACCGGAAGGGGTTGTAGAGTGTGCACAAAGCTAAATATCCCGATAGGATCAACAGTCTGTTGGAGCAAGTGCTGCAGCAAGCATCTAGGAAGGCCGGCACGGCACACGAAGGGGGTGGGTGGCCAACTCCATGCCCAGCTGGATTTGTCTCCCAAGTGCTAATGTTTACACATTGCACCAGGTACTCAAGGTTGATTCGACTTCCAGGAGGCCCCTGGAATATTTCAGAAATTCTTCACCGATATTTGTCATGAGTGGGAATGGAACTCGGGTGGCCGGGTTCCGAGCGCAGCACACACAAATGTATTTGACACATATGCATGCTCGTCTGCTTACATACGACCGCAATAATAGCCCCAAATAATGCACATGTTGACTATGTTTTTTACGAGTAATTTGAGTCAACTTTCATGACATAAAATGCATTTCATTTCATAATAATTTATGTTTGTGCCATTTTGTTGTGTTCTGATTTATATTTGCTTCATTGCTGTACTTATTTATATGTTGTTGCTTTTGCCATTGTGGTGACGACCTAGGTCATTCTTGCAAATGACTCATCCTAGTCTCAAGTTTTCATCTGGTTACACAAAATGAACATAACTCAATAAATACACACACGTACCAAGTATGCCCATGTCGTATCTCCCTGCACGCTTTGCGTTGACAATGACCGCTTGCAGAGTGTCGGAGAAATACTGGAAGAGCGAATTCTGCTGCGCCACTTCCATTCCCAGAATGCGGTTCAGGAACTTCCCAATGTTGTTGTAATCTGGAAAACGAGCACCGTGCGGCATGGCACGACAGACACCACTCAATAACAACGCCGCAACGTCGTGGTCAACGCTGCTGATGCCCCCACACCACCTCCTCACGACCAACAACTCTCTAAACCTCTGCCAGTTCCTACAGTAGCTGCTGCAGTCAACATTCAACCTCTTAACATCTGCCCTGGCAGTCTCTCTGCGCCTTCTCCTCTCAAGTCTCCTCTTCCCTTTGGGTGATCGGATTTGTGCAGACCGCTCCGATGCCCGTCTTGGTGATCGGCCCTTACCCATCTTGTTCACGTCCCACCCAGCGTCCCACCTGCTTCCCACAGAGCGCAGCCGTTTTTACCAAACCACTTTAACTCGGGGAAACTCATCACAAGTGGCGTTTGACGACAGCACAAAGTAGTCAACATTGTGTTACCAGCTACAAAGAATGCCAAATCATGCAACTGCTATTGGTTAAAACATCCCAATGCTGAAAAACTCCCCAAAAATGACTCAATTGGTATGACACACAGCAGCAACATCGCCCCCTACTGCTAAAACCTGGCAGGACCCTCCTGAGAAAGATCCTTGAGACTCAGCGAGGCGTTCTTAGGTAAACACCTCGGAATAACTGCGTACGGTGGGAAAGAAGTTCAAAAAGTTCAGTTCAAGTTCAAACAAGTGAAACAATAGCACAAATTCACAATGAACTCAGTTCACACACCTTTGTCCAAAGTGGGGAGACCCATTCTCTCATCGATGTTCACCATGCCGACCCCCACCAAGCCCTTAAGGATGTCTAGGGGAGGAAACAAAGATAAAGTCACGCACGGACGGACACACTTGCGTAGGTCGATGTCGTGTGGCCACAGAGAATGGGGGGAGCGTGTGTTTAGGGCACCGCGGAAAGGGGGATGGTGGGGGAGGGGTCACCTCTGAAAAAGTCGCCGCAGTAATCGCTTGGGGGCGGCACCAGAGGCGCGTCGAGGCCAACGATGGACTTCATGACCATCTCCAGGGCTTGCCGGCCATACTGCAGGCACGCACCAGGCCGGCGCACAGGAGAGACACAGAGCACAACAGTTGTTGTTGCTGTTACGCTTGTTCACCCACGAATGCCAGAGTCTCAAGACTCTTTCAGGAGGATCCTGCTATATTTTCAAAGGACGGGGTGATGATTGTAATCCCAATTGAGTCAAATGTGTCATTTTTCTAATTTGGCATGTTTGGACTGTGATGCTGGCACACAATGGCCTACTCTTCTTGAAATGACACCGTGGGGTCTTTAACGTCCACTATGAGCAAAGCAGACGGCACGCAGAATTTTATGGTTCCTAAGCACCGCAGTATTAACCAGGGCGGCCTGCCAAAATTGCTCTGAAATACGCCAAATGCAACTAAAGATGTTTTAAAACTTAACTTAAAAACGACGCAATTGTGCAGGGTTCCAATCCTGATCGGCGTCAGATTGGCGATAGGGTAAACGTGTCGATTTAAGAGTTGCTTGACCTCTGCCCTGGTTTGGCTGTAGACCGCAGGATATCACTGCAGAGGCTACGAGACATTGACATGGCACAGTTGTTGCTTCAGAATGGTTTCTTCCGATTTCTAATCACGACTCTCAACGTGCCACCACACAGGGTTTACTCGCTCTCGAAGAGACAACAAAGGCGCGAGGAACCACAGACAAGTGGGAAGGCAGCAGCCAGTCGGAGTGCTAGTGCTACCAACAATTGCCCAAGCTCTGTAGTCCTCTATATAAACCCACGTGCACGGAGAAAACCCACATGCAGGAGGGGAGCAACACTATCCCCGTATAGATGGAAAGAGATGGATATAACTCCACTTGCTGTACTGCTTTCTGCCGAGACAGGGTATGGCACCTCAAAGCCCACGTGAAGAAGGGAGGTTCACTACATTTGTGCAGTGACCCACCAATCCTCGCCTCCAGAACTGGACTCCAGGCAGCCACGTGCAGCAGTCACCAGCGCTAGATGCGCTTCACCTTCAACTTGGCATCGCTCGTAAGATGAGGGAATTGCCCCGACCCTCAACCTCCATGTCCCACGTTGTGCACCGCAGGGGTGAGCTTTGCTCACCTTGTTGTCAAAGTTGTAGCGGCTCAGATCTCTCGACTCCGTGGCTCTGCGATCGCCGTGTGTCAGGGCGCCCTAGCACGCACGCACAAAGGCGAAGATTCCGCATGTAGCCTTTCACAAACTGTTGGGGAAAGTGCTGTTGGCAAGTAGCACCTGCAAAGGCCGGCACGGCACACGAAGGGGTGGGTAACCAGCACCACGCCCCACCGCCTTCGGCTCATCAGTCCTATTTGTGTTTTTAGCTATGGCAGGAAACCGGAGAACCTGGAGGACCCATGTAGAATAGAGGGTAAAAAATACAAACTCCAGTCAGGCACTACGTCGGGAATCAAACCCACTCGTTTCTTGCTGTAAGGCGCAGGTGTTACCAATGCTCTGCCATGCTGCCCAAGTTCATCCAAATTGATGCTTGCACAATCTTTGTATCAAACCCAACGTGTTCCATATCACTCAATGGGTGCTGATTCGTGAAATAAAGCACAGGGCCCCCGTTGCCCCTGACACACTTTGCCACAACCAATGTTTCAGGGGCTTTGCGATTCTGAATGCAAAGCTGCCGTTTGCAGGGGTGATTCAAACAGGGGCCAGCATTGTGGTGATGCAGTGGTAACACTTGTGCCCTACAGTAAGAAGCGCCTGGGTTTAATTCTCGACTCGGTCGCCTTCTGTGGCACCTCCGCCTGCCCCCACGTGACACCTCCTTCCGCCGCCACCGCCGCTGCCACCCACCAGGCTCTCGAGACGCTTGGCGACGATGGAAGCGAAGCGCTGCTCCCCGGCGAGCTCGGAGATGAGGAAGAGATACTCGGGGGCATTCACCTGGTTAGAGCGGTGAGTCCGGCCTGGGAACAGCCACACCCGTGCACACTCATACTCTCACCGGCACTAACAAGCTCTCACCGGCACTAACACGCTCTCACGAACACCATCTGATTAATGCTCGCACTGCTTTCCGTGTTGCGGTTCTTAGCACGGTCCCCGTGCGTGTGCCCTCTGGCTTGTGCCCTCCTCCTCGCTGACTCGTGCCCCTGATGGGTGTCCCTGGTCCACCCATACCGAATTGCTGGATGGCTCTGTCTGCGCTCCAAGGCAGCTCAAGCGTCATGTGCACGCGCCGCCGCTGGTTCTTGGCACGGCGGTCAGCCTGGAGCGATATTCCCGAGCTCGCCGCTTCTGAGATGATTGCGATGTTCTGCAGCGACACCGCACGGCACACCGTCACATCGGCAACACGCTCTGCCAAGCCTCACTGCACAGGCACCGCTTTGCAACTACATTCCTAGGGAACATCTCCAGCATTTATAAAATATGAAAAACTATTTTTATTTTACCAGATAAGGCACACTGAGCTATATGGCTCTTTTTCAGAAATGCCCTGGCCACAAATGAGAGCACATTAAAGTGACTTATCACGTAAAAATTTTAGCAGCCAAATATTCTCAACGAATGTTTCTCTAGAATCCACTCCCTCTTGCCATAACGCTTCACTGCAGCTGAACGTTCCCTACTCGCAGTGTAGGGGGTTGGGGCGAGGGAACTGGGTTAGGCTTAGAGCAGGGTGAGCGACCAGAGAAGTTTGGGGGATGGAGGGAGAGACCAAGAAGTTAAGAAATTCCCAGAGGATGAGAGGCCCTGGGGGAGTGAGAAGGGGTCCCATAGCAAGCTCGCACCTTGTCTCCGTCCATGAAGCGCTTCTTCTCGGTGACGTTGAGGATCTCCACGGGCACGTCCAGCTCGGAGCGCGATTCGTACGCGATGCTACCGTCGTCATTGCTGACCACGCGGCCCTTGCGCCCAGTCATCTGCACACACGCACGCACGCGTGCACACCCAAGCACGCACAAGCACACAATGTATACACACAGCAACAACTGCTGTTCGCCACTAGGTGGCGGTAATGCCTGGCCAAGGTGCACTGAGGCTGTCACGTGACGTGCGAAAGGCTCACACCACACGCACGCACGCGTGTTCAAGCAGGCGCACAGCCTCCTGAGCAATGGTAGCTAGCGCCTAAGGGATTGATGCACAGGAGAGGAGGAGGGGAAGGGGGCACCTCAGCCACATTGTCGGTGCCCCCCAGCTCGTCGATGAGCTCGTCCAGCGTGTTGGGGGGCAGTGCGTCCGCCAGCTGCTCCAGGTGGTCGAGGAGCTCGCGCTTCATGGCTTGGGCTCGCTCCACCGCGTCGCCCGCGGGGGGGGTCCCTGCCAGGGGGGGGGGGCCCCGAGGTGCCCACCGAGCCCGACAACAGCCCCCCCACACCTACGCACGCACAGGTGAAAACAAGGGCAAAGACAAAGGTTCCCCTTAGGGGCCATCCATTTAGTACGTATGGGGGGAGGGGGGTTAACCCAAATGCGTACGCTTGCGTATGGGGCGTCTACTGACAATGTACGTACGCATAGGAAATGGGGGTGGGTGAAGCCTCAATAATCATTTGTCTACATTGGCCTTCAAATGAGCCACAGTTCAGTTTATTCAGCTGTCAGACAACAAGTACTACCTGGAGAAGTAGGCCTGTGGGAGAGGTGTCACTGGAATGCCACCGTATCCCTGACTGCAGTAAAATAAGTGGCCAAGGTATGCAACTTAATTCTTTAATGCAGCCAGCGGTGGACTGTTTGCTTAAACACGTTATTATTATTAATCCTTGATCGTTTCTGTGTGGATTCAATATTGGCCATTCTATAGGATGCGGGGGGGGTGTCAAGCATATCTACGCAAGTGGGAGGGGGGGGTGTAAAAAGTACACGTGCGTACAGGGAGGAGGGGAGGAGTCAAGTTGACAGATTTTTGTGTACGTACTAAATGGATGGCCCCTTACAGAACGAGCAGACCGTCGGGCGAGTGTTCTCAGCGAGCCTCTATCGAGGCTGGCACGGCAGACGCGAGGGGGCGGTGTTGTCAATGTTGCACCCGGCCATCTTTGTTAGGTTCAGATATTCACCACAGATCTTAGCCAAGATTGAGAATTGAACTCAGGCCCTGCTTGCTGCGAGGGACAAGTATTACCACTGCACCACCCTACCACCCAAATGGGTTATGCGAGTGAGGGACCCGCACTGCACCTGCACTTGAGAAGCTGCTCTTTCGGAGGCCCAGGCCGGAGGCAAGCAGCGCGCTCTGGATGGAGTCGGGATCGATGTCGGCATTCCGCTTGCTCCCCTTGCTCTTCTTACTCTTCCTCTTCCTCTCCTCCTCCTTTTCCACAGACTTCTTCCTGCGCTCCTTCCTCACCAGCCACGGATCTAGGGAATGGCACGGGAGCTCCTCACCCGCTCCTCCACTCCTCACCCACCCCTTGCGTGCATGTCCGTCCGTAACGACGTAACCGCTCAGCTACTCCCGGACGGATATTTGTGATGAACTGGCACAATCTGCTAAGTTTGGGTTGCAAGTTACCTAAAAGGAATAACCAAGAGCAATATCACCCCCTACTGGCAAAAGGATGCCTCCGCTACGTCACATTGTTCTGCACATGGACAACTGCCATCAGGGTGTCCCCTCGGCTAAAAAGAAAACTGCAGCCGGGCATTGTAATTATTGACACGAGTTTGTTCCAATATTTCACAGCTAATGTGGTGAGTGGCGTATGGATGTATGGCGAGTGTGGGGTGAGTGGCGAGTGTGGGGTGAGTGGCGAGTGTGGGGTGAGTGGCGAGTGTGGGGTGAGTGGCGAGTGTGGGGTGAGTGGCGAGTGTGGCGAGTCCCCTCACCACCCTCATCATCGGACTCATCGCGGAAGGGGTTGAAGTCGTCATCTCCAGAGCTGACCGACTCGAACGAGGAGGCGCTGTCCCTGCCACCGCCTTCGTCCTCCTCGTCCTCCTCCTCCTCGCTGCTGGAGCTCTCGCTCTCGCTCCTCCCCGCGCGTGCGCGCTTCACCTGCCCCCGCGCATCCTGGCTCTTGGCTGCAAGGCACATGGGGGGAGGATCAACACGGGGGATTAGGACACGGGTGATAGTGAGGGTGATAGTGAAGGTGGTGCCGGTGGTGGCGGCAGTGGTGGGGGAGGCGACGGTGGTGGGGCAGTATTGCTGATGGTGGTGTGGCGAGGGCACCTTTGCGCTTCTGGGCAGGGGTTGTGGTGGCAGCGTTACTCCGTGCTGGCTGGGCGCCACCCCCACTCAGGCTGCCCAACTCGAAGCCCAGGAGACTCGACAGCTTCTTTCGATCGGGGGCCGGGAAGTGCTTCTCAATTAAACATTGGAACACTCCCCTGGGAGGGGGCGGGGGGAGTGGGGAGAGCAGGAGTGGGGAGGTAGGGGGGGAGCAGCATAACCATCACAGCAGGGGAGGGGACAGGACACGCACGGCACAGTCAAGCAGTGGGCTGAGCGTTCCACGCACACATTGTCACTTGGCCCCTTGCAGTGTTGTGGTGTCCGGCCACATCTACTCACCCTCTCGCGCATACTCTCACTCTCCTACTCACTCACCTACACATTCACTTGGTCACCCAACTCGCTTTCCCACCAATTGCAACTTAATAGTGCCCAGGTAGGCAGCTACGAGATAAGAGCTCTGTTACTTCGGCTGTGTCGTCCTTGAGACAAATCCATCATCCCCACTATCCGGTCGGGTCGGTGCGCGTACTTGGCGGTGGAGACAAAGTCGTTGAGCTCCCCACCGCCCTCCTCCAGCGCCTCCAGCGTGCGCGCCTCTCCTGTCGACTGCAGCCCGATCACCACGCACTGCACGAGGGCACAACCGCGATGTCAGCGGGCGGAATGAGAGCGCAGAGAGACACGCCAGCTCGACACGCTGACCGTGTCATGTGAACGCATCATTGTGCGTGTCACGTGAACACGTGTGCATCGTCGCGAGTGTCACGTGAACGCGTGCGCATCATTGTCGGTGTGCACGGATACACGTGCGTGCCGGCATTGTGACTCGGCCCAGCGGTAGCGCATTCGCCGCTCATTGCAGACATTCGCGCTTTGAAACCACTGGCCGCTGCGCCCATTAATACTGAAAATGTATTGACCATAAAAAATAACCGTGACATTCAAAGAAGAGTAGGCCACTGCATGCTGGTGTCCTTGTCCAAATTCGCCAAATCTTAAAAATGACACCACAAATAGCTCAATCGAAATCTACACGGAACAGCGATCATCGGCCCCTCCTCCGAAAACTTGGCAGGACCCTCTCCCAGAACAGAGAACCCGAGACTTAGAGAGGCTTACCCAGGAAAACAAGCAGAGTGACGACACGAAGAACGTTCTCACCTTGCCGTTCTTGACTTCCTCCCTGGCGAGCTGCACGAGGCGGCGCACCTTGGACGCGATGCACAGGTACTTGAAGAAGCGCTGGTGCGACGACCAGAACTGTCCCCACATGGACTTCTTCATGCGCTGCTCCGCGTCAATCAGCTCTGCCGCCATCTGGAATTTCTCACGCGCCTCCACCCACTGTGCGTACGCACACACGCAGGGACAAACCTCGTCACCATCACTCTTGCCACACCGTCGCCATCGCCACACCGTCACACTCCCCACCCTTGCCATGCCATCATGCTAACGACACCATCGCGCTCACCACTCTCCCAGACTCCGTCAGTGGGGGCAGTGCGAGCCGTGTGGAGGTGCGAGCAGACCTGCAGGGGGGCCCCCCCTCTCTCACCAGGTGCACGGCGCGGTTGTACATGGAGATGTATTTGCTGTCGAGGGGGATCTCTTCGATTTTAAAGGTGACGCCAGAGAAGCTGAGCTGCCTGGCGATGTACATCCCCCGCAGCTTCATATCCATGGCAACGATCTCCATGGCGCCCACTCCCCTAGAGGATGCAGTACCACCACCAGCGTCACACACACAGCACGACCGTCAGCACCACCACCGCCACCCCACGTGGCCCCCGCATGGTGTGCTGGCTGTGAGGGCAGTGTCGGTGCTCGCTACCTCCTCTCCACGGCTTGGATGAAGTCGTTGAACTCGCGGAAGGGGGTCCCCTCTCCCCAAATCCCCAGCCGGTTCATGTAGGCCATGTTCCGGGGCTCCGATGCACCTGACCAGGGCAGCATAAGATAGCAGCGGTCAGCATTGCGTGCGAAACAAAACAACGACACGCCCACACCCCCCATCCCCCGCCCCAGAGTTTACTTTCACGGTTCTAATTATTTACCCAGGAAAGTCTCAATATGCTTTTTAAGGAGCATCCTGCCAAGTTGTCGCAGTGGAGGGGTGACGTTGCTGTGCGATTGATTAATTTGCATGGAATGTTTCAGCATTGTGATGGTTTGCCAGTGCCAGTTACATTCTTTGGTTTTAGCTGTGGGAGGAGACCAGAGAACCCAGAAGTAGCCCACGAAGTACAGGAGGGAGAGAACATACAAAATCTACACAGCAAGGACCGAAGGCAGTAATAGAACGTCTGTTCATCTTGCTGCGAGGCGCGAGCGCTGCCACTGCGCCGCATCGGCATTAAACCAGCTTTGTTGAAATTCCGCACCCCAGTAATGTCGCACGTGTGGCCTGCCATAAGTGAGAAAAACCACTTCAGAGGGAGAAACGAGCAGGAGGAGAGTTGTCTGCTTATGGAACAGGGAGGTGACAGACGAGCATGGAGCTGGAGATGACGGGGTAGGGAGGGAGGGAGGGTATGGGGGAGGTGGGGGCCCTCACCCGTGGCGCTGGCGTAGATGACGCGAGCTTTGGGCAGACGGTTCTGCAGCTCAAGCACTGCCAGGCCCGTTTTGGTCGGCTTGGAGGAGCCCACGGGACACAGGTTCTTGGCTTTGTGGCACTCATCAAAAATTATCTGACGTGCGGGAGTCAAGGATGCATGACGCCCATCTCTGCTTGCGGCGGTGAGCGTCGCTCAGCCACGCGGCAACGTGCCCTCCCGTCGATCACGCTCCTCGGCTGCTACACCGACGATCCAAGCACTGAGTCACGTGTTTAAATTATCACAAGATCGAGACGTCATCGTGACCACTGCCGCCGAAGCCGCTGATGCCACCACCGCACGTCCAATGCACTCTCTTTAAACTGCACCAGATCCCGCAGCTGCCACGCAGTCCAACTGCCCTGACCATCTCCCATCATCTGCTCTTTGGTCTTCTCTTCCCCTTGCTCGCCAGATCCCTCACTTACCATTTACGCAATCTATGCAAATATGTATATATAATTAACTTATTTTGTACCGAACGTAGCAATCCGAGGTGTGGGGGAAGGACGACAAACTAATAACCAAATGATAGAGCAGTGAAAAATCCCCCCAAATTTTTTAACCCAACACAAACGAGACCAGAAACACGACACCGACACGAACCGATCGTCAGATCAGTCCACAACCTGAAATCGCAACAACTCGTGGAGGCGCTGAAGGGGTGGGTTGGCGGGTGGGGCGCGGGCGAGCACACGATGAGTGCGGGGTCGCGTGGCGAGGATACGACGCCGTCAAAGTCGTCGCTGCACCAGTGCAGCAGCTGCTTGATGCGCGTGCGGTACTTGCCGCCTGACTGGCTCTCCCCGATCAGCGCCGAGTATGTGGCAAACACCACGCCCTTCTTCACCGCGCCATTCTCCTTTGACGTGATCTTGCCATATTTGAACTGCGAACATGACAACAGCAGCATCAGCAACTGTAGCAGCGGCATCAGCAGTAGTATCAACAACAACAGAAGCAGCATAAGCAAGAGCAGCATCAACAACAGCTGCCATTCGCCAATTATAACGAATATCCCGCTTGTTTACACAGGCATGCCTCACCGAGTCTCAACTCTTTTTCAGGAAGATCCTGCCAAGCTTTCAGAGCGTATATGTTCTTCCCTTGGTCTGCACGGGTTAGGTTCCCCAGTTTCCTTCCATAGCTAAAAAACCCCACTATGTCATTGGTATTGGCCAAAAAAAATGTGAAAAATTACCGACAAATTACTCAATTGGGATCACACACAGCTGGGTAAATACGGGGAATCTTCACGACCAATAAGATGGTTGGCCACATACGGTGCTCAAAATACATACAACCTTCACAAATAATTACTGTGTTGGGGACCACCCTCATCATGGCAGCCCGAGCCTTCCCAATGCATCACGCACGCCACGTCGCAGCATCGTTCCGGGTGATTCCAGCCGCGTCCATGGATGCTGCCTCGCTCGGCGCTCACCTTGCTTAGGGAGTGAACTGTGATATTTTTCGCTCCGATGTCCTTTAGATCCCTCTCCGCGTCGTACTTCAGGTCGTTAGAGACGCTGAACCTGTGGGCACCTCCGATTATCATGGTTGGCTACGTAACAACTACACTCACAGCAGTTGGGCAGAGCGCACTCGCACACAGCGCCTGTGTTTGTATTACCTCCACATTATCATTATTATTCTGCTTGTTTACCCAGGACAGCCTCAGTCTTAAGACTCTTATTCAGGAGGGTCCTGCTAGATTGTATTCGCAGACTACGGTGCGCTTCAGAATCGAGTAAGTTGAGAGTAAGATTTCAAGTTTTCACTGTGGCACCTACACAGGATGGCCTACTCCTCTTCGAATGACGTCACGGGGATCTTTACCATCCACTGTGAGCAAAGCACGCGGTGTGAAGTATTTTA